TATATTTATATTGGTTGTTAAATATCAATTCAAAATTGAAGATAAGGGATCATCATAATTTACAAACCCTTACCAGCTGGTTCTCATGTGGTAGAAAGAGGGGAAAAGCCATTAACTATTAATTTATTACCAAGAAGTTAGAAAATCCTTAGAATGGTGACATTAGTAAAGTCAATAAACCTTATAAACTAATGAGTTGCAGTGGAATAACCCACAACTCCACTACATTCCATTATATAATCCTTTACTTAGAAAAATTCTCAGCAAAATGAAATATTTATCTAAGTTTTTAAGGTAAAAAAGCCATGGGAAAGAAAAAGTCATCACTATAAGCTGGTAAGTAATGCCGCCTTTGAGAAGGGAAAAATTGATAAAAGGCTAACATATATAAAAATTTTAATTTAATAGAAAAAAATACGTAATTAATAGAAGCATTTTTCTTTACCAAAGAATTACTTTGCAAACATCTGCTATGACATATTACATAGAAGACCAAATAAATGTCCAGTTATCTTAAACATTTCTTGAACAAATATTCACTTTGCTAATACATTTACCTTTAATTACTGAATTTCTTCTATGTCCAAGGAAAAAATGGTTGCAACAGTTTTGGTAAAAAATATTACTGAAATCAAATTTTTTAATAGACAGTGAAGTAAAAATAAAACAGAAGAACAAAGAACAAGCAAACTATATTGAGATACTAGAAAAAAAATAATGACGTGGTGGGAAAAAAAACAACTTGGATGACAGGTGTTACAAGCTCTGCTGCTACTCTGCGAAGTAAAAAACTCTGGTCCTCAATTTTCTGCCCACAGAAGATGTTAAATTACTTTAGCTCTCTCTCTAGTCCCACTTCCTGAACCTACAGTATCTACACATTCCCTTTCCTCCTTAGTAAAGAATCCTTGACTTTCAGAATATATTACACGGTTGACTAGAGTAAAGCCCACACTGGCAACTAGGCATGACCATGTGATAAAGTTTTAAAGAAAGTGTAGTGTGCTAGCATCCAGATAAATCTCCTTAAAAGACAATGTACACACTTTTGCCTCTTTTTCTCTGTATTCCAGACATTCTGCTGCCAGGGATGGCTGGAACTCTAACAGCCATTTTGGAAATAAAGTTTTACCTTGTTTAAGCATTAACTATTATTTTGGGTTCTCTCTGCAACTTGAAAACAGACTTAATAGTAGATGATACAAAACCACATTCTTCTATTATATTACCTTAAGATAAAACAGTTACTCAACAATAAATAATTAAACAAAAAATAAAATATTAAAAGGAAAAGCACCCTAGAAGAAAAGAAAAATCACAGTATTTCTAACATCTTAAAATCATAGCAAAAAATCATAGTATTTCTAACATTTTCCACCTAACTTCTAAGAATGAGAGAAAGAGTTTAATGTTTTGTTTTTTTCCCTAACAGGAATAATTAGCATGTTTAGCATAAGTAGATTAATTCTATACACTCATTATTCGCTCATTCTTTCACTCATCAAAAATGCATTAAGCACCTACTATGTGCAATGCACTAAGGTACCTAAATAAAATAGAAAAGAGCTCCATTTTTTTTTTTTTCTTTTTTTTGTGGCTGGCCAGTATGGAGACCCATACCTTTGATCTTGGTGTTACAATGATACACTCTAACCAACTGAGCTAACACCCAGCCCCTAATTTAATAAAGCTTATATTCTAGTGAAAAGTAGTGGATATTTAGTGGGCAGAAAACACAGAAAGAGCTTAACTATTCTTCCACTGAAGACATCTTCTCACCATCAGACATATAAATTAACTATGATGAAGTTCTTCCTTTAAATTGAAGGCTCTGAATAAGAACCAGAATAATTTAATGTTTCTTGCAACTAGATCAACTGTTTATTTGAGAAGACAGTGTTTTATCCATGTTTACTCCACTACAGGAAAATAAATTCTCGTTATTTCATGTTCTTAACAACTTGAAACTTATTTTCACAGAATGAAATTGAACATAAAAATGACTATAACGAACAAAATGGGTTTGGGTAAGAAATTTACTCAAAGAAATTACAAGTTAATTGAACCTATAGGATCAGGGATAATCCAGTCTTACAAGGAAATTACTAGTCAATGAAAGGAACTAAAAATTTTGGTGTCTAAATAAAACAATAAAGCCAGATTATGAAAAAGCAGGAGTAATTTCTACCTCTGCCTAAACATCAATGGGAACAGATTTGTACACCACATCCACTAAAAATTAGTTTTGGGGAACAAGTTATGGAATCTCCACATACGAAAGTTAACATACACGGGCATGAGAAGATGAACATACAATATCTGCTAAATGATCTAGGTATGACAAACACTAGAGCTAGATTTCAAATCTGGAGGACATAACAACACAATGAAAAAGAGTAAACTGGAAAGTAAAGAAAAACAAGTCACCAAAGGACAGAAGGACAAGTCACTTATCATTGATGTTTTCACTATTGATACTAGAGCTAGATTTCAAATCTGGAGGACATAACAACACAATGAAAAAGAGTAAACTGGAAAAATAAAGAAAAACAAGTCACCAAAGGACAGAAGGACAAGTCACTTATCATTGATGTTTTCACTATTGACAAATGGCTTGGAAAACAATGGTTTTAGTAATTTTCTCAACAGATGTCTACAGATCAAAAGTTACTAACTCTCCATGATGGAGGTTGTTTAGGCACTTCAAATTTGAATCCCCTGAACAAGATATTTCATACGGTAATTTAATGCAATGGAAGGCCGTAGTGAAATATAATGTATTGCAATATAAAGTAACTGTAGCAAAATGTGTATATATAAGCCATGATACAGTCTTGACATAATCAGCACATATGACAAAATTACAACACAATTTAGGAAGAGGAAAATGTAAAATATATTATAAATCTTGTGCATTTATGGTAAAGAGTGATTATTCAAACACAAGTTAAGAGTATAGTGCTTTTAACATCTACAATACACTGAAGGGTGTATCAATGGGATTAAAAACTTAATCTATAATGGGATACCCTTCATGATTTCCAGAGGATTCAAAATGGTTATTACATACATTAAGATTTCATTGTGTTAACATGTCTTTCACATCCAAGTGGTTACTAAACCAATAACCTCCATAATCTGCTGCTGACTACTGAGTATTTTTGATAAAATTGAATTGACAGTTTAACTAACAGAAGCCTATTTTTTCACATAAAAGTATACATGTCACAAAACCCAATGATATTGTCTAATGTCTTTTTTCAGTCTCAATAGAGATAAAGATCAAGGACAGCAATTCTCTCTAAAAATGGACCTTAAAGAATGGAGACTAAGTCTATTCAATTATTAGAAAATAAACATGGCGTAGGTTCTTAATCTGGGGTCAAAGATCTATTTCAGAGAACCCAAGAAGACCCTGAAGCTTTATGAAAAATTCTCTGTTGGCTTTCATCAGATTCTTAAACAGGCATGAGATCTAAAGACCTAATCAGCACCCCTAAAAGTGTGATGATCTTATCGTTAACAGAACCAATTCAAAAGACCTTAAGTTATTCAACAGCAAACACCTGAAAAATAGTAGCTTCATTTCCACAGAGTTACTCTGGATCTTCCTCTTCCCAAAGCAGTTTCAAAAACAAACAAAAATTTCAAAGGTGACACCAAATGCCATCAACTCAAAAGACATATGCTTTTAGAAAACTGTATGGGATTTCCCAAGGAGATCAAGACCATTAGAAAATCAGGAGACAGTTTCAGCATTAAACTAAAGAGAGAAAAGAATGGCGTATTTCTCTGGATACCCCTTTAAAAATCTCTTCCACATTCCAAGACCTAATAATAAATTAAGCAGAACATCTCAGATATTCCCTCTCAGAATTTTAAGGGTGAAATCCAAATGCTATTCCCTCACTGAGAGGCAGCGAACAGGTTTCTCCCAATTCTAAGAAAGTGGGCAAAGCTAAGGCGTGCAAAGGTAGAGACGAAACACCCTTTTCATCTGCCAAAATGAAGAGGCGGGGGCTTGTCAGTCTTGTCTGTGTCGGGGCGAGGGGGAGGAGAACAGGGAGGGATGCACGTGATAGGCCCCAGATCTGAAGAAATGTAGCCCTGCCAGATTGGTGTGGCTATGAGAAAGCAACTCAGCAGCAGAGGTAGTTGCAAAGGTAAGACCTGAACCTCCCGGTGGGAAGCTACGTGGCACTTAGCAAACTGCTTCGTGTCCTCCACCCCCTGCTTCCGCCCCAACCTTTTTCCCCAGTAGTTACCAGTTGCTCCAGATGCCGTAGAGTAGTTCCACAAAAGCGAAAGAAAGGTTCAGGCACAGGAAGAAAAACAGGTTCCGGGAGGTCTTGTCCGACAGGATAGACCTGAGAACGACACAAGTGCGGAAGAGCCAGGAGCGTCAAAGGGGTACCGGGACCCCGAAGCTGGGTCCCCCTTTTAAGACCCTCCCGTTCCACACGCTCCTTTCCTCACAACGGGGGGGGGGGGGGGACACCGACATTCCCTCCACGGACCTCGGGTCACCCTGAGGTCTGGGCCTTCTGCCGAACACCCCCTCCCCACAATTACAGCACCCCGCACCTAAACCAGCCCGAGATCTTGCCGAACAGATTGAACTTGGGTGGTTTATATTCATCGTCCTTGATGGACAGGGGCAACATCTTCTCTGCCCGGCGGAGGGCCGGGTCTCCTCCCCTCTAGAAGTGGTTCCGTGGGGTGATGGCAGTGGTTCCGTGGGGTGCTGACTCCCGAGACGGAAACCCCCAGGGTTTGTCCGGGGCCGCACGGCGCTGCAAGACACAGACAGACACAGACACACACCCGGGAACTCGCCGACTTCCGGCCCGGGCCGCGCAACGCGTCCTGGGACGGGAAAGGCAGGAGGCGGGGCCGAGGGCGGGACCCGCACGATGGAGGGCGGGGCTTGTGGCCGGGGCGGGGCGGAAGCTGTGCCAGGCACTACCCGGGGTATCGGAGAGCGGGAGGGGCGGGAGTGAGTGGAGGTGGGAACTAAGAGGGGGCCTGAGGGGCCCGCCTCGTCCCGCCACCTGGACGCAGGAAGAAAATCCTCAGGAGGCGACCTGCAGACTGAGCTGGCTGAGAGGGCGAGCCCGTTCACGCCCACCCTGGGCGCCTGCCCCCCGTGTTCCCGGATGCACTGGCCCCCAGCGCCTGCCCTTTCGCCATTTCTCCAGCGGCATGAATCCTGGAGCGGTAGGTAGCAATGCTTAAGAGTCCAGGCGGCCTCGTGTTCTCTTGCTGCCAGTACGCAGGAAGCGCCAGTGGGCACCCAAATCCGGGTAGTACAACTCGCTTCCTAAAGCAGAGCCTGACTCTCCTGTATTGCCAAGCGGGAGGCGATCAGTGTCTTTCGAAAGAAAGACTCTTAAAGGTATTTAAAAGAAGTCCGTGCTTGAGTTGAGGTTTAATTAACGCATTGCTTCCCCGACCATCTCAGCCCGCTGAACCTCCGAAACTCTAGAATTCGTGCACGTCCTTTTCGCTTCCAGGTCATCCACGGGGAGGCAGCCGCCGCCGTAATTCTTGTCAGACCCTCACTGCCAGTTTCAGGGAAGTGCATGCAGCTGACTCGTCGGCGGGACGCGAAGGCGTGCGGAGCGCGAGGAGGCGAGCCCTGCGGGCCTTTTCGGGGCACCTCCTAGTCGGCGGAAACGTTGCTGCTGGCGCCTTTCCGGGCAATTGCTAGGGTCAGATCGGGGGTCCGTCACGTGAATGATTAAAAGTTGTTACCTAGAGGAGGAACTGGGGGAAAGGAGGGCTGGCTTTCCGAGGTGGGCTGGAAACTACAAAACCGAGCTTCTCGGGAATGCCTTTTAGCCCGACAGGAAGTGGAACGTCACCGAAAGGGAGGGGCGGCCACTCGGGGACCGTCTGCTCCGGGCTCTCACTTTGCGGGCGGCGCTTCTTCCAGGTTATCCCTCGGCGAATGAGGCAGGGTAGATGCACGATGCTTGGTTTAAAAAAAAGACAAAAATGAGCAAGCGAGACGACCCTTCCCTTTTATGATACCTAAGCTGCAAGCAAATAAATCGGCTGGCCCCTCTGCAATCTTCTGCACTCGAGGTAAGGAGACAGCAAAATGCTCTCGTGTTAAAAAATTCTTTGCAGTGAGGATATGTGCATGTTTAGCTCACGTTTTTGGAACTTTACGTGTGGGGGGGTAGTAATTCGGTGGTTTTATTTTTGAAAATTTAATACGTTTATTGTACAAATTTAAAGAATATTTATGTTAATTAAAACTGCTGAGTAAAAACAACTAGGTTCCAGAAATTAAGTTCTGGTCAGAGTATTTCATCTTTGCCTTTCTTAGCGTATATTTTATTATTTTTTAATTTAAGCAGAAATATTTTCAATTATTAGCATTTACTTTTTTTTAAAGAAAGCTTTTATATTAGCAATAGACTTGAATTTTTCTCTGCTGCACTTCTGGGTAAACAGTTAATTGGGTGCAGTCTATGTAGTTTAAAGATAAATATTTCCAGGGCAAATGGATTTTTCTTCAAAACTGCTTATTACTATATGATATAACGGGGGCAGGGGATGGGGACAGGGTGTATAGAAATAATCAGATTTCAGCAACTGATTTCTAGAATTAACTCATCAAGGTCAGCTGCAATTTGAACCTGCATTTTTGCATTCTTCCTTTGAAAGTAAATTCCGTATTTGATCCTATATTGCTACAAATCAGATTGCTCAGCTGGTTTATGCAGAAACCTACGTTACCCTTTCTTTCAAATCGTTTTGAAATATGTTAGAGAAATTGAAGCTTAATTTCAGTTATATCAGTTTCTAGAGGCTCCCAAATTCCCCAATTCCCCACACCCAAAGATATAAGTAAGATAGGTATTCCCATGAAGGCCGTCTCTTTTCAAAAAGTGGCAATGCTACTTCATATCTTTCAGTCTAGGACAGCGTAATTACCAAACTCAATACTAAAACCTTTTTTTATTTGCAATGTGAAGTGTAGATGGAATATGAAGTGTTTTCTTAAATCAAGAAAACTTCTATGAGGGGAAAATGTTGTGCTGTGCCTCACTTCTTTTGTCATCGTGCAATAATATTTGTCTCATGCATGTTAACATATATATGTTGTCATATCAAAGTTTGTTTCATTCGTTCAACAGTCATTTAATGAGAGTCCACTATGTGCTCGGCTTTGTGCTGGACACTGAGGGTACAAAGTCAAATCAAAGCTTTTTCTGTGGAGGAATTTTGTGAAGAGGAGAAGCTGATGAAGAGAAGAGGATAGTGACAGGCAGACCAGTCCACTATTTTAGAATTGTGTGGTATTTAAGATGTGTACAAGGGATGCCCATGGAGCACTGAGGAGGGACATCCATCACTCAATCTTTCCATGTACACTAAGCCATTCCTTCTGCCCCTTCAGTAAGTTGTAACATGGAAGAACATGGTTTTGGAAAATCAAAAATGTTTCTTCAGCTCTTCAAGTCAATATCTTGCAAGTCTCCATGAATTCCTTCATAAATGAAAGATTAAATGGTTTTATAAGATTATGAAATATAGTAATAGACATTTTTCAACTAATGTGTGATTTTCTAACCTGAACTTTTTAATATTTGTTTACATCATCTCCTACCAATTAATTGTGTTAGGTTAGCTATGCAGACTCAATGGAAGAAAAAACCCCAGCAGCTCAGACATGTGATTGAACACTATGAGAAATGAAAGCAAAGAGAATTAAGGGGTAGAAGCTCATCTTCAGCTCCTCTGGGCAGTAGCCAGCAAGGAAAAAGAAGGATGCCATGTGTCATTCTTCAGTAATCAACCCTGGGCCCATATCTGCAACCCTATTTTAGACCCTGTGGTTTTTTAGATGCTTCAAATCGAATGTCCTGGGAACTGCTGGTGAAAAAAGGAGTTATAGTGGGTGGATAAGACTACAGATACATATAAATGTAGAAATTGAATACAAGTATAAATTGCTAATGTGTTCAGAGGTTTTGCTCCATGTCATATGTACTCTGGTTTCATTAGGTAGTTGGGATGATGTGAGTTTATTTTGTTTCTGGACCCTCAAGAGAAAGATGAAAACAAAAATATACCAGTATTAGCACCAGCCTCACAAGCCATTATCTATCTCATTGCCTAAATTAATTTTTAGAACACATAATAGCAAGTTTTAATTTCTAAAAATAATTCAAAGCTTATGGACAATGGCATTAAAAGCATTGTTGTTCTTTTTTAATTTCTTGCTAGTTGACAAAAACATCACAAAATTCTTTAATTTCCTTAATAGTGCCAAGAGAGCCTGTTCCTATCAATCACTGAAGCCATAAGGAAAAATTTTTTTCAAATTTAAACATCTTTTTTAAAGAATTTTTTTTTTCTTTCCATGAAAAAGGTTCATTCTCAACCTCCGTCTTGTTCTATAAGCATTTTTTTTTCTTCTCTCAAGCTTTAAGTCTTCCTTTTTCCTCATATCTTTTAACATTATCAAAATTACAAACCTAAAACGCTAAGCAATATCTTAGTAAGCTGCTCGCTATTTACACTTCCTAGCACTGTATTCTCTTTTCTTAACAGAAAAACTTATCTGCAACTTCTTCATGCTGTGACTCCTGCCTCACCAGCCTCTGGCCCTGAGACCCCTGAAGTCTCCACTTTTGTCTCCTGGGCCACTAATATCTCACACTCTGCTATCTCAGCTTCTATCCTCAGCACCCCGGAACCCACAGATATCTCCAACTCAAGACCACCTTTTATAATTAGTAGTCCCTTCTTCTGGGAACCAAGGACAAAAATTCTTCACGAAATCAAAAAATCTTAATAGATCACTTGTTTTAACCTTTACTCCTCGTGTCTTTAAAGCTTTTTGTAACTGTCTTATGTACACGTCATGACAACTTAATTCTTAATTCTTAATTTTTGATTCTTAATTCTTAATTCTTGTCCCATTATCAGGCGCTCTTACTCACCTTATCCTGACGCAGCAGGTTCCCGCGGCGGATGAAGGTTTTACTCTTTCATTTTCAGTGGTCGACCCTCCTATGCGCCTTCTTCCTCACTTTGTCCCCCGTATCCAGGCCCCACGTTTGGGCGCCAAAAATGTCCCGACCCGCGGGATATTCAACGCAGACCCTGGAGGGGGGAGTGGGAATTGGATGGGACAAGAGACACGAGAAATTGAGACAAGACAGTATTCTGATCAAGTCTCGTTTATTGATTCTTAGGTTACATCTTATATAGGAGAAGGCAGGCATGCTGCAAAGGGTCTGGAATGTAAAGATATGATAATATCTTGAGGAGAGACAAAGACAGGACATTCAAAGTAATGGTTGCCACCCAGAATGTTTATGGTTAAACAGTTTCTAGAGAAGGATAAAAGGTCACTTGCAAATTAACTTGCATAGCCAGGAGCAATCAGTTTCTGGCATAAAGATTTCGAGGCAGTTATCATGTAAAGCACGGCCATCTGAGCAGATTGTCACGTAGGAGTGGTCTCACAAGAAGGGGTGTGGGGCTTCAGGCTCCCAACAAACTATGAACTTCATATAGCCATAAAGTCATCGTTACTCTCCACACTATACTGACACTGTTTCTAATGGGCCTACAATAGAGTTTTAGACTTTAGCTATCCTCAGAGAAAGTGTGTCACTTTCACTGCAGTCTATAAAGTCCTTGTTCTCTTTGCTTTTCTTTGTAAACTGAAAAAATACTGACACTGTTTCTAATGGGCCTACAATAGAGTTTTAGACTTTAGCTATCCTCAGAGAACAGTGTGTCACTTTCACTGCAGTCTATAAAGTCCTTGTTCTCTTTGCTTTTCTTTGTAAACTGAAAAATTTACATAGTTTTATTGGGCTTCATTATTTAATAAATATTTAATAGTAAATTTTTAATGAAATATTTACAGTGTTTCTAAAGACATAAATTATTCATAGCTCCTGAAACCTTACTAATACAGGCAAAATAGGGGATTAGAAGCTGTTTGAAGGAGGAAATTTCTCTGATGGGTATAGAGCATAAAGTCCTAAGTATGGATAAAAGTGAAGCAGTCACTCATGAGTGTCTTTGACAGTATATATTTATAGTTAGCTATACTGTTAATCTTTGTTACTTTTTCTAGACTAACACTGCCAGATAGTAAGTTATTAGTGTCTACTTTAGACATTAAAAATACTTCTATGAAAGTTTTACAATATGCTGTTCCCACTCAGCTGCAGAAAATGAATATAAAGATCTTAATCATGGTATACTTTAGTGCAATTGTCAAAATGATTCTTTGCTCTGAGTGCTTATAACTCGCCATTTTATGCAGAATTGAAAATATGCTCTACAAGACCTGGTTTTGACTCAGTATTAAAAGGATTTTCTTTGAACCAAGATTGTTAATTCATAATGGTTTGTCTTTGGTTGACTACATTAATAGTATGTGTTCTTTTACTGAGTTGGTAGAAAACATTGTACTCTAGAGCCTTAAATTACTGTCCTTGGAAAATAATTATCTCAAAGCTGAAGTTACTTAAAAAATAATTAATTTAATTCATATCTTAGAGTAAGGCCATGATAGAAGGAGAAACACAAAATTGCTCTTTGTAATAATAGAACAAGCTACAGAGAAAGTCCAGGAGAGAATACCCTTCAAAGCTCTCTGAAAAGCTTACTATAAAGTAACATTGCTTTTCAAATCAGGACTGTTGAAAGTGAGAGCTGCTGGATGACAATGACTGTTTCCTTGTCCTTTTGAATAATGCTTGCACATGCCTCAACACTCAGTCACATCATGGAGTGTATGCCCATGTCCTCTCAGAATTCTCCATTCTCATAAAATGTCAAAGGAAGATGTTAAAGGCATGATTCGTATGGTGGAACAAGGTCACAGGAATGTGATAATCACTAACCCAAGCACTGCCAAGTCTCCTTGGTGAAAAACAAATGGTTGATTGGACATCATCTGGGAAGTAAATGAGATTTAGTTTGGAATATAATATTCCATTAGGAAGATTTAGACTGTGGTCTTAAGATTGCATGTGGAATAATGGCCTAGCTGCAGTTACCTAACTTCAACCATGAGATGTGAAATCAAGAGTGTAGATATTTCTGTGTATGTATACACACAGTGCACTTTTCCAGGAAATGGAGAGAACTAAAAATAAGATGTACGAAGGGAGTGTTATACCAAGAAGAATGGTGATGGTGTCTCTGTGCTATTTTATAGCCTAAGAAGAGAAATTGTGTCAAAAGTAGTAGGAGAGATAGACTATGAATCAATTAAAGTCATCAAGAATAATGTCTCATATATCTTATTCATTCTGATTCTATGTAATCTATTTTTTTTCTTGAAGATATTTTTTAAATGTTGATTAGGAACTCCTGGTTAGTTTCTGTTTCCAGTCTATTCATAAGTAAATTGATTTGAAGAATTCATTTTCCTCACTTCTGGTTTTTGTACTTGAATAATACAAGTAGTATATAATAGATCCAGGATATGCTAAAATGGATATGAGGATTCAGTTGTTGCCAGAATACAAAAGAAGGAGCTGTGGATGGATTGAATTGTGTACCACAAAGTTCATATATTAGAAGCTTAATTCCCACTGTAACTGTTGAGGGTGGGAATTCCTATTATAGTAATTGAAAGGGGGGTCCTTGAAGAGGTGATTAGATTGCTAGACCATGCCATAAAGAATAGATTAATGAGGATGGTCAGGGGCATGGTTCTGATGGCTTTAAAAGGAGAGCACATGACAGTCTTTCTCTCTCTCTCTGCTCTGCCATTTTCTGCTATATGAGACCCCTGCATTGCTGTAAAGCCACCACCAAAGAAGACCCCACCAGATGTGTTCTCTGGACTTTGGATTTCCCAGCCTCCAAAACTGTAGGCAATAAATTTTATTTTCTTATAAACTACCCAGTTCCAGGTATTTTGTTATAAGCAATAGAAATGGACTAATATAGAAATTTGGTACCAGAGAAGTGGGGTGTTGCTTATAACAAATACTTGAATGTGTGGAAGTGGCTTTGGAAATGGGTGTTGAGGAGAAGCTGAAGGAATTTGGAGGAGCAGGCTAGAAAAAGCCTAGCTGCTAGTGGGAATTTAGAAGACAAGAGAACCAGGGAAAGTTTGTAACTTTTTATTTATTTTTTTTATTGGTTATGAATATTCATAGAGTACAAAGCAAATTGTCACCACTCATGCCTAAGATCTGATGGCCAGATCCTTACTGGCAGCATGCCTATTACCAAAAATTGCAATTATACCCCATGTCCCCCACCCACTTACCCCTGACCTCCCTTACCATCCCTCTTTCCCCACTCCACTTTGTATCCCTAGGTATGTTCTCTTCCTCTGCAAGTCCAACACACCACTATGGTCTTTCCTTCCTTTTTTCTCTTTTAGCTCCCACTTATGAGTGAGTAAATATGGTATTTATCCCTCTGTGCTTTGCTTATTTCACTCAAAATAAGTTTCTCCAAACTCATCCATGTTGTTGCAAATGGGAGAATTTCATTCTTTTTTCTAACTTCTTAAATTCTATCAGAATGCTGATAGAGATATGGACAGTAATGGCCATACTGAGGAGATCTTAAATGTAAATGTGAAGGGACTTATTGGAAACTGGGGCAGAGTTCTCCCTTGCTATGAACTGGCGAGGAATTTCGCTGCATTCTGTTCATGCACAAAAGTATTATGGAATGTGGAATATAAAGGTGCTGACCCAGGCTATTTGGCAGAAGAAATTTCTAAGGAACAAAATATTCTGGAAACTGCATGGCTACTTGCAACAGCCTGTGCTGAGTTATGGCAGCAAAGGCATGACATAAAGCCAGAATGTGTAATTAAAACGGAAGCAGAGCATAAAGATTTGGAAAATTTGTAGCCCGACCATATGGTAGAGAAGCAGAGAGCTATTTCAGGAGAACAGTGCAATGGTGCTAAGAAGATTAGTACAAAAGAAAGGGATTATCAAGAGAATGGGGAAAAGGCCCTGAAGGCATTGCAGAAGCCCCTGGGGCCAATGCTTCTATCACAGACCCACAGGCCTAGGGAGACACAGTGGTCTCAGGGAACTGGCCCAAGGTGCCCATCACAGGCTCACTGCCCAGGGCCACCTTGAGAAGCTGCTTCTAACACCAGCACTCTGGCTGCTTCAGCTACTCCAGGTGTGGCTGGACCCACAGCTTTAGAAGATACAAGCTGGAAACCTTGGTGGCCCCATATGGTGTTAGGTCTACAGGCTCTTAGAATGTCAGAGCTGTGAAGGCTTGGGAGCCTCCACCCTGATTTCAAAGGATGTATGGGAAAGCCTGGGGGCCTGGGAAGAGATCTGTCACAGGGGTGGAGTCACTGCAGACAGCCTTCACTAGAGCAATGCTGAGTGGAAGTGTGGGGTCAGAGTTGCAGCAGAGAAACCCCATCAGCGCCATGCGTAGTGGAGCCATGAGAGCAGGACCTCCATGCAGACCCCAGACCTGTGGAGCTACCAGAGTGGAATACCAGCCTGGGAGAGCTGACGTGTGGCCTGAGACCAGAAAAGCCATAGAAGTGGAGCTGCCCGAGGACTTGGGGACCCAACTGTCACACCAGCATGCAGAGGTGGTTGAATGTGGAGTCAAGATGCATGATTTGCCAGCTTTAAGACTTAATGTCTGCCGTGCTGGGTTTTGGACTTGTTTGGGACCTGTTACTCCTTTCTTTTGGCCTATTTATCCCTTTTTGAATGGGATTGTGTACCTTATATTTGTCCTACCATTGTGTCTTGGAAGTTGATAATTTGTTTTGATTTCATAGATGGGACTTTGGACTTTTGAGGTGAGATAAGTTAAGACTTTGGGGATGCAATGAATGTATTTACCTGTGAGAAGGACATGAACTTTGGGGGCCAGGGGCAGAACGCTGTGGATTGATTGAATTGTGTCCCCCAAAGTCCATTTATTAGAAGCTTCATTCTCACTATAACTTTTAAGGATGGGAAATTCTATTATGGTAATTGAAAGGTGGGACCTTGAAGAGGTGATTTGATTGCTGGACCAATCCATAGTGAATGAATTAATAATGATGGTCAGGGACCTGGTTCTGATGGCTTTACAAGAAGAACATATGAGAGTCTCTCTTTCTCTCTCTCTCTCTCTCTCTCTCTCTCTCTCTCCCTCTCTGCTCTGCTCTGCCATTTTCTGCCATATGAGACCCCTGCATTGCTGTAAAGCCACCACCAAAGAAGACCCTCACTAGATGTGTTCCCTGGACTTTGGATTTCCCAGCCTCTGAAACTATAAGCAATAAATTTATTTTCTTATAAATCACCCAGTTCCAAGTATTTTGTTATAAGCAACAGAAACAGACTAATACAGAAGGACCTACCTTAAAGGCTTATGGAGGCTTGCGCAGAGTAAGTCTGAAATCAGAAGAAATGGAAGAAAAATAAAAAACAGAAATAATTGAAAGCCAGCAGTGTTATAGGAGGAGGCAGCAAGTGTGGAAATGAAATTGTATTGGAAGCCGGGAAATAGAGTTCTAGGTGTTTTTAAAACTGTGCAATTTAACTTTTTCTCATGCAGGCAAGAGGTTTGATTAGATAAAATTTTTGACCAGTGTATATCCAGGTCACACTTATCAATTATTTGTTCACTACTATTCTGTGGCCATCTCCGGAAGATCCTTCAGGTATAATGAGGAAGATGGGAGAGTACATAGCTGATAACCATGCCTTGTGATTTGTACTGTGAGAGAGGGAGCTGTGGAAGCTCAAGAGCCCTACCTCAGTTCAACCGAGATTTGAACCCAGACTGCACATCCCCACAGCCCGTGATGATGAAGAGCCTGAGCTCTGGGGGCAGATCTCCCTCATGGAAATCATAGTTCCATTACTTAAGTTAGTAATCTTGGGAAAGCTATTTGATCTCTGTAAGCATCTAAACTATTAAATGGGAATAATAATAATAAAAGGTAGACCCTGTCACTCTCCTAATCCAAACCCTCCAGTGGCTTCTCATATCATTTAGAATGAAGTCCATACTCATCATTGAAGCTGACAGGGCCCTACATAATCTGGCCCTTGCTTATCACATCACTCTGATTTATTCTCTTCAAAAGCATATTCTCTTCATAACCACCACGCCAGCTTATCTTTGGAATTCATTTATTTTGTTATCTGTCTCTCCTTACTATCTCCTTTGCTCCTAACAGCAGACACCTTGTCTATCTTATTCATTGCTGTATCCACAGAACCTAGTACAGTGCCTGGCACAGGAGTAAGTGGTCAGTGACTATTTCTTTAATTAATTCGGTGAGTAAGTACATACTGTGACATGTGAAGCACATAATACAGGGCGTGATAAGCAGTAAACCCATTGTAATTGTTTTCTGCTGCTTTTATTATCTGCTTCATGTATTGTGGTTCTGCATATGATTTTACTTGGAAAATAAGGCTGCTACCAAAATGTAAGTTTAAAGGGAAATATCCCATTTGAAAAATAATCTCAGTTTCAGATTTTTAGTTGTGAAATGAGGGCAAATTTTTAAATGTTTAATTCTTAATACTCGGTGTGTATAAGATCTTTTGTCTGCAACTGCAAAACAAGCAAGCCAGAAGGGAGGACTATTAGACTGTTCTTTTTAATCTCTTAAGCCTTAACAAAGAGGAAGGGAGAACCGAATTTGAAGAAACTAAAGCATGATTGATCTCTCTCATCATTGAAAACAACATAAACAGAAACACAGTGACTAGTGAGAATGCTAACATTCTGGAATTTATTTCCATTTCTGCTCCAGGTGTTGCCACATCTGCAAGCTTCCTGGGAAAGTAATGGGGATTCGAGTGCTTCGTTTCTCTTTGGTGGTCATCCTTGTATTACTACTGGTAGCTGGGGCTTTGACTGCTTTACTTCCCAATATCAAAGAAGACAAGATGCTTACTCTGCGTAGGGAAATAAAATCCCAGGGCAAGTCCACCCTGGATTCCTTTACTCTCATAATGCAAACATACAATAGAACGGATCTCTTATTGAGACTTTTAAATCATTATCAGGCAGTACCACATCTGCACAAAGTAATTGTGGTTTGGAACAATGTTGGGGAAAAAGGACCAGATGAGTTATGGAATTCTCTAGGGCCTCACCCTGTCCCTGTGATCTTCAAACTACAGACAGCAAACAGAATGAGAAATCGACTCCAGGCCTTCCCTGAAGTGGAAACCAATGGTGAGTTGCAGCTAGTTTCTCAGCATGGAAGGGCTGCAGCTAACCACAGATGTGGGAAGCAGGCCCGGGGAGTGTGGGGGGGTGTAATGCGGATTTCTGGCCTTCTACCTGTCCTAACTCTCTGGAGAAAAGTGGGGAAAGTTAATCATAAGAAAGCACTTCGAAAAGCTTAAAGGGCAGTTTCCAAGATGTCAAGAAGCAGTTTCCTGGGGAGGAAAACACATATATCTTGCAACAGTGACAAAAAGGTTGATATTATAAGAAAAAAGATATGCTATAATTATATGTTATTACATTACAGAAGGTAGTAAGATGCCATTTAGTTTATGCCGAATATATTTTTTGCCACTCCCCTTTTCCTCCTATTAGCAGTTTCATGAGGTTGTAATTTGCTTAAAAGAATCTTGGCTTTGTTTGTTTATAGGTTCATTAGTTCCTAGGATGGATGATAACTACATGATTTTTTGCCTTTGAGCACTTATAAAATCAGTAGTAATTCAAAAAAAATTTTCTTCTACTGGCAAATCTCTAAAAATCTCTCCAAGAATACATTTCTTAATTACTAATTGGTTCAAAACTAATTTATTTGAATGATCTATGTAGACACTACTGTATCTTACTAATTGGTTTTCATTTTCAAACTGTTCAATTTCAGTTGTTTTCCTTTCATTTCAGCGGTGTTCATGGTAGACGATGACACTATCATTAGTGCCCAGGACCTTGTTTTTGCTTTCTCAGTTTGGCAGGTAATGTTGCTATATCCATCTATATAAAATTTTATCTAGTGCTTAAGCAGGGCAACATGGTTTAATATGGGAGTTACCCAAAATAGTACAGATAATATTTATCTAAAAGATGCGTGAATTTGAGGCCGAGCCCGTGGCACACTCGGGTGAGTGCGGCGCTGGGAGTGCAGCAGCGCTCCCGCCGCGGGTTCGGATCCTATATAGGGATGACCGGTGCGCTCACAGTGCTCACTGGGTGAGCACGGTGTGGCCTGTCTCAAAAAGGACCAAAAAAAAAAAAAAAAAAGATGCATGAATTTGTTATAAGCTAATCAAGATTTCCTGATCTTATTTAAGCCAACCTGAAAATTATGGTATCTTTTATCTATATTTCATTTATGTTTTGGTATATTGGGGAAAAGAGCTAGAACTACCTTCCAAAGAGCGATGAAGAAATGATCTGGTACAACAAAAACTAGAATGCGGAGATATTTTTCCACAGGCCACAGACGTGTGTCTCAGATGAGAAATGTATTTCTATATTTATATTGTATGTAACTTTTTGTAAAAGAAAGCATTAATTACCTCCACAAAATTTAATTCTCATTCTGAAACCATTGATTAGAAATTCTGCAGTAATAATTCTACACGTACTGTTGTGGTGACAGGTTTTTTTGTTTTATTTTGTTTTTTCTTAAGTCCTAGCTCAGATAAACAGTCATAAATTTTCACTGTCCTATAAAAGCATCTCTCTCCCACTGAATGTGTGTTAATAATAGCTGACTTTGACAAGTTGCAGTACAGTTACCTGAAACAAGAACTGTATACCCTTAAGCCCTGTCAAATAATTAAACACTGTACTATCCAATAAATGGTCTAATTTGCACTATATAACTTTCCTTAATAAGTTATTTGGGATATAACAATATTAGATATTAATGGTAAGTGATCTCAGTACTCTGCAGATATCAGCATTCTAAAAACTTTTTTTTAACTTCATGTCTAGTGTACTGATCAACAAATTGAAATTTTTTCATATCAGCAGTTTTTTCCAGCTCTGTAAATAAAAGCTTCTTAGGCAAAAGTTCTAATGTAATACTTCAGCTGTGAGATATCTATTTAAGGTAAAAAATCAA